GACAACTTCAATCTTATCATGATGTTGCTTATTGGTCTGGTTGTGAGGATTTTTGTATTCCTTATGTTGAGGTATAATCAATGCTAAAGCCTGTGGTCTTTGATCTTCATCAGTAAGTGCTTTAAGTCCTCTTCACGATTGTTAATGAGTCTTCCTTCAATCCTGATGCCCTGTTCTTCTTCATATAGTCCAGCTTCTCTGATTATTTGCTCAGCATACAGAGTGAATAGGTAAATGGTGAAAGGATACAACCCTGATGCACACCTTTCCTGACTTTAAACCATGAAGTATCCCCTTATTCTGTCTGAACAATTACCTCTTGATCTATGTACACGTTCCTCATGAGCACAATTAAGTGTTCTGGAATTCCCATTCTTCACAATGTTATCCATAATTTGTTATGGTCCACACAGTCGAATGCCTTAGCATAGTCAATAAAACACAGGTAAACATCTTTCTGGTATTCTCTGTTTTCAGCCAGGATCCATCTGACATCAGCAATGATATCCTTGGTTCCACATCCTCTTCTGAATCCGGCCTGAATTTCTGGCGGTTCCACATCCTCTTCTGAATCCGGCCTGAATTTCTGGCAGTTCTCTGTCGGTATACTGCTGCAGCTGCTTTTGAATGATCTTCAGCAAAATTTTACTTGTGTGTGATATTAATGATATTGTTCAATAATTTCCACATTCGGTTGGATCACCTTTCTTGGGAATAGTCATAAATATGGCAGCCAGGCAGCTGTCTTCCAAATTTCTTGGCATAGATGAGTGAGCACTTCCAGTGCTGCATCTGTTTGTTGAATCATCTCAGTTGATACTCTGTCAATTCTTGGAGCCTTGTTTTTCACCAATGCCTTCAGTGCAGCTTGGACTTCTTCCTTCAGTACCATCAGTTCCTGATCATATGCTACCTCTTGAAATGGCTGAACATAGACCAATTCTCTTTGGTATAATGACTCTTGTATTCCTTCCATCTTTTGATGCTCCCTGTGTCGTTTAATATTTTCCCTATAGAGTTCTTCACTGTTGCAACTTGAAGCTTGAATTTTTTCTTCAGTTCTTTCAGCTTGAGAAACACCAAGTGTGTTCTTCCCTTTTGGTTTTCTATCTCTTAGTCTTTGCACATGTCATTATAATATTTTACTTTGTCTTCTTGAACCACCCTTTGAAATCTTATGTTCAATTCTTTTACTTCATCATTTCCTCCTTTTGCTTTAGCTACTCGATGTTCAAGAGCAAGTTTCAGACTCTCTTCTGACATTCGTTTTGGTCTTTTCTTTCTTTCCTGTCTTTTTAATGACCTCTTGCTTTCTTCATGTATTATGTCCTTGATGTCATTCCACAACTCGTCTGGTCTTCGGTCATTAGTGTTCAACTCGTCAAATCTGTTCTTGAGATCGTCTCCCTAAATTCAGGTGGGATATACTCAAGGTTGTACTTTGGCTCTCGTGGACTTGTTCTAATTTTCTTCAGTTTCAACTTGAACTTGCATATCAGCAATTGATGGTCTGTTCTGCAGTCGGTCCCTGGCCTTGTTCTGACTGATGATATTGAGCTTTTCCATCGTCTCTTTCCACAGAGGTAGTCAATTCGATTCCATTTAGCAAGGTCCATGTGTATAGTTGCTGTTTATGTTGGTGAAAAAATCTATTTACAGTGAAGAAGTGGTTGGTCTTGCAAAATTCTATCATGCCATCTCAGGCATCGTTTCTATCACCAAGGCCATATTTTCCAACTATCGATTCTTCTTTGTTTCCAACTTTCCCATTCCAATCTCCAGTAATTATCAATGCATCCTGATTACATGTTCGATCAATTTCAGACTACAGAAGCTGGTAAAAATCTTCAATTTCTTCATCTTTGGCCTTAGTGGTTGGTGTGTAAATTTGAATAATAGTCATATTAACTGGTCTTCCTTATAGGTGTATAGATATTATCCTATCACTGATAGTGTGGTACTTTAGGATAGATCTTGAAATGTTCTTTTTGACTATGAATGCAACACCATTCCTCTTCAAGTTGTCATTCCTGGCATAATAGACCATATGATTGTCCGATTCAAAATGGCCAATACCAGTCCATTTCAGCTCACTAATGCCTAGGATATGGATGTTTATGTATTCCATTTCATTTTTGATGATTTCCAATTTTCCTAGATTCATACTTTGTACATTCCATGTTCCAGTTATTAACAGATGTTTGCAGCTCAAAAAGACCGTGTACCATTGCCAATACTCCTGCTGTATTTGGATAAATACCACAGGAGAAGTAGAACAAGATATTAGATTCACCAGAAGACTACTTGGTTACACTCAATATCTCCTATGCCTGACTCTCATTGCTTAGATATCTTTAGTTGGTTGCCCAATGGCATTGGTTCTTGGTCGTGCTCTATACTACACACTGGATTAATTCTTTCGATTGTTATAATTGTTGTAGGCTTAATTAAATGCTATATTAAATGCTTGACTAATGCTTGTGACCAACAGCGGGCTCCCATTGCTTTGCAGAGTGCTATGTATCTTGAAGAAACCTATCACACCCAACATTTTAATCCCCCTGTGTACTTATGCTAGCTTTCAGTAACAACCAAAACCACTTGAAGGAACTCCTTTGTTTCCCAGGAGTGTTTCATTTTGATTCTTCTTGAGTCTGGTCTGAAATTATTCCTCCAGTGTGGCCTTGTCTGCTACACTAACCCCAATAAAATCAACTCACCCTGAAGATGCAGCCTATTAGCTTGGCAAGGTGAAGAAAATACTTTCTATTGACCAAAGCCCCTTGAGGAGAGCAGAGTCCTTGCAAAAGAAACGCAACTCCATTGTGGATGACTGACGCCCTGTAGTGGGGGCATGATCAAAAGGGGGGAATGTGCTAGCAGACCTTCAAATATAGAGGCATTCAGACTGAACTCACAGTAATAGGTTAACACGGACTCTTGGGAAAAACTAGGGAAGAGGTGAAGTATGTGGGTTGTTCTAGGAAAGTATGTGATAAGAATGTTCCAGAAAGCAGGTAAAAAAACTATTCTTTGAGCAATCTGTCCTTGGAAAGAATGTTTACACAGGCCCCCTTCGCCCTCAAAAGAGATTGCCCTATTCTACGTGCAGAACTGTCCTTGTAAAACGCTTGCTTAAGTTACTTCCAAGAAGTCTGCAAATTAGATGATATTTTGAAAGAATTGCTTGTGGTTACAGTTTTTACTAATCCTTGTATGAATAAAAAGCCCCTCTCATTTTCTATACTTTGGAGCATCTCGAGCTTTTGCTTTGTGCTCTCCCACTCCGGTTGTTCTATTTCGCTATAAAACCCATTTCTTTCTACTCCCAACAGAGTAAAAAGTTTGTTTTGCTTTGACAGTTTGTTAAAGCCATCCACTTGTGGTATTTCTGTTATAGCAGCACTAATAACTAAGACAGTGTGATAACAGCATCATGGTAGCATTAAAACAAAAAGGCTTTATGTGTTAGAGGTAGTAATAAATTATGGGATTTCCTTAAAACAATTCCCATAAAAACAAACACAAAATTAAAACAAAAACATGGGGGAATAAATGCGACAAGATTTGCAAAATGTAACAACTGCTGAAGCCAGGTGATGGGTAAATGGGGCTCATTATATGATTCTGAGTCCTGTGTATTTTTGACATTTTTTGTAATAAGAAGCTAGAAAAAAAAGTGTAGGTATTTCTAACAGGGGAATCAAACCAAAAACCAAACCCAAACCTGCTCCCGTCGAGTCAATTCCAACTCATAGGAGCCCTTTAAACCTATTGCTGTTGAGTCAATTCCAACTCATAGTGACCCTATAGGACAGAGTAGAACTGCCCCGTAGGATTTCCAAGGCTGTAAATCTCTACGGAAGCAGACTGCCACATCTTTCTCCCACAGAGTGGTTGTGAGTTCAAACCACTGGCCTTGGGTGGTACAAATGCACTTGGCTGCTAAAAGGTTGAAGGTTCGAGTCCACCCATAGGCACCATTGAAAACCCTATAGAGCACAGTTCTACTCTAACACACATGGGGTCTGCATGAGTTGCAATCAGTTCAGCGGCAACTGGTTTATATGGGAATCACTGTGAATTTTTTTTTTTTTTAATTTTGGAAGAACTTGAGCAGCCCTTTTCATTAGGTAGATATATGGTAAAGGCCCCCCCCCCCCCCACTGTTCTGGAACCTGAGTTTAAGGCTTAGTTGCAGAGGACAGGGAAGTAAGGGAGTGTCCCTACCACAGGCACAACTTTCTCAGATTGGTACAGGGACCAAGGAGGCTTCTGGGAAGATGGGAAGAAACTAGATGCTATCCCTTTGGGGTTCAGATGGAGCAGCATGGCTCAGAAGTGGGAGTAGCTCCAACTGAGCTCCACTGATAGAACACCAAGGGCCCCTGAGGGAAAACTCACTAAAAGGTGAGGGAAGAAGAAGCTCAACTGGGCCCAAGGGCCAGCTTGCCTTTAGGGAAGAGCTGCTTCTGGAGGCGCCTGAGCCTTCTCAGAAGGGAGCAGGGAGCATGGTACCCTCAGGGGAGCAGTCAGCCTCCAGCTTCTCCTTTATAAGGAGGTAGCCCATACTGGCCCCTTCAGGTTGACTAAGTAAATTGTGGGGGCTCCTGACTTATTATGTGAGGGAGCTTCCAGGGAGTACCAGTTAGCAGGATGGGAAGTTGCCTGAGGCATTTGACTTTGGAATCAATGTGACTTCATTTTACCCCAAGGTGCTGAAGGGAGTGATGGTCATACCAAGTCCCTCAGTCTGCTGGGAAGAAGAGGGCGGTGAAGGGCTCATCTCTGGCTCAGGTGCTCTCTGCCAGGAAAGGGGCATGGATGTGGCATGGATGCAGCCTGCCTGTGAGTAGTCTCCAGAGAGGGCGGGCTTATCCCCGTGAAGGAACATGTGTGCACCCTTGTGGTTTCACACCAGAAATCTGAGAGACAATAGTCTGTTTCACAGTGAACCTCTCAGGAGCTCATCCATTTGAAAAACTATGGGATAAACCTGCGGGTTGCAGGACTCTCTGGGACTAGGCCCTGGGGTTACTTCTGGCTGTTCCTACCCTACCCACCTGGAGGACCGTCCCAGCATTGCCCTGTATGCGGTCACTGAGCGAATGAATGTACGACGAACAATGGTACCACTGGAGCCCTTTGCCTCAAGGCAAGAGGAAACTCCTTTGACTACACCATCCCCACTGAGACACCGAGACTCTGTAGGAAAGTATGTTTAATAAGGACAATTCCAGCTGGGCCTGGCCCTTGCCAACACTATCCCAAATGGTTGGGATCCAAACTCAAAGACAGTCTTTGGCCACCTGTGACCATGAACCAAGCCCCTAATCATGAGGCCCAAGCCAAGACCGGCCCCTCCCCTTGCTGCATCACTTCCACCTCCAAATTTTGCTGGTCTCAGCCAGAGAAAGGTGGTGGTCACTGGCACAGCCTGCTGGACAATGGGTTGTTCATGAATGTGCCAAGCCAGGGTACAACCTTCAGGGAATGTCCCCAACCACCCAGGGTCAGAGGGCAGCACCAAGCATCAGGTTATAGCCAGGACCAAAGTCAGCTGTGCCCATTGCTGGGATCCTAGCTTTCCCTCAAAGGGGACTCCCAGGGCCATTCTGGCTACTGTGGGGGCACAAGGGGGCCCTGGCTTTCTGAGGCCCAGCCTCAGGCCCAGGGCTTATCACACATAGTCTAGAATCTCTGTCTCCATCTCGTTCTCACTCCCATCTGAAGGCTTGAACTCCTCCTCCTCTTCATCGTCCTCCTCATCTTCCACATACTCGTATGTCAGCTGCTCTTTCCCTGCATCAGCCTTGGTCGGGCTGGAGAAGAGAGCTGGGGCCAGAGGGGAAAAGGTCATGTGTGTCCTAATGCAGGGCTTCCTGAGTGCCCCAGGTGCCCAGAGAATACTCCCAAGGCTCCTGGGAGCCTGTTTAAACTACAAGAGTCTGGGCTTAAGCCCTGGAGAAGCTGCTTCAGGAAGTATGGGGTGGGGGGTGGGGGGGTGGGGGCTTGGAATCTGGAGTTTCACAAGCACTTCAGAGGATTCTGGAGCACACAGGTTTGAAAACCACTCCCCAGAGGAGCCATGTGCAGGTGTCAAGGTACCCATGGGCCTCAAGAGTGTGCAAACCATTTTGTGTGAAAACATTTTTCTGGGGAGAGGGTCCATAGTCTTAGTTAGACTTTTACAGAGGGCTGTGTCCCAACCAAGGCTAAGAACCCCTGCTCTCCTCAGATCTGTGGGGGATGGCTAACTCTGGGACTCCCCTGCCCCAACCCTTAAAGAGAGGCCCCTCTTGCTTATCCTCCCAGCATCATCAAACCCCCAGCCAAGAAACAGCTCACTCCCCTTTCTCACTTCCCTGTAGCCATCCCTTGCCTAGCCCTGGGGAAGGAGCAGGGCTATGCAATGCAGGGCAACAGGAACCACAGGCTCCTACTTGCCTCTAGTGGAAAAAGGCAAAGGCAGAACATGCCCACATGTGCAGGAAGACGCAGGATGGTGGCAGGGCACAAGGTGGAGGCCCAGACTGCAGCACCAGCTCTGCTCCAGCCCCTGCCCTCTGGGTCCAGCTCTAGGTGCCATGACTCCCAGCCTCTGGCAGCCCAAGGGGATACTGGCTCACAAGGCCTCCCTCCCACTTGAGGGCAATTTCCAGGGAATGGGTCTATTATGGACCCTTGCTCTGTCGCCAGAGTGGGCACAAGGCCTAGGATTTCCAGGCAGCTGGGGTCTCCCTTCACCCTGAGTAAGTGGCTCTCACCAGGCCTCTTGGAGCGGAGGGCCTGCCGGATCATGCCGGACATGGCGTTCCTCAGGTCGTCGCTGGTCTTGGGGAGACACCACCCATCCCGTTCCGTGCACACATTCTCTGCCCCATCATTGCGGTGAATGATCTTCTGCAACCTGGGGGGAAGGGATGAGGGTTGGGAGATAGAAATCCAGGATGGGGTCACAGCTATAGGTGCCAGCTGAAGGGTCTTGCAGAGACAGTGCTGTGTTTAGAGAAAACAACCCTTAGAGTGCAGTCTACAGAGATGACTGTTATAATGGAGAACACCCATTAAAGCTGTACCCCCAGCTGGGTCCCTAACCTGTGTGGTCTCTGGACCCCCTAAACAGTACACAAAGCTGGGGGTGTGCTCATGCAGTTTACTGGTGAGACAGAGGTCATAGCTTTCACCAGATTTTCAAGCTATATTTCACATGCTCCCCTATCTCTTCCCCCTCTCCCCACCCTAGCATTCCCCCCACTGCCAACCCAACATTTTAAACATCACTAAGAACAACTGGATTAAAGGTTGTTTCTGGAATTCTGATTTAAGATTCCTCCACTGATGATCCCAGAATTAAGCTGGGATCCAAGGACCCACCCATGGGTGAGCTTTCTTTAGAAGGTCTGTAACCACCCCCTCATATTTTATGCCACCTGTGGGTAAGTTCCTAGCACCGACCCCAGTCCCACTTTCCCCACCTCGGTGTCCCATGGCCCAATGTACATACTCTTCCACATTCAAATCGCAAAACTGATAGAACATCTGTCGATAAGGCGGCAGGGCCCCCTCCCGGAAGATGTAGACTGAGTCCTGGGGAAAGAAGGGGTGAGACACAGGAAAGGTTAGTGGGAGCTTTTCTTTGGGAGTGGCCAGTGTTAAGGTCCCCACGCTGCAGGCTCCCATGGGGTCTCTCCAAGGAGTGGGCAGGTTCTCAGGACACACAGGCCTATCTCTTCTCCCGGGATACAGGCTGGGCACACAGGCCAGGTCAGTGAGCACATGTGAAGACAACAAGCTCCCCTGGAGGTTCTGGGAGGGACAGACAAAGCAGCCAGGCACCCTGGGGCCACCGTGAGCCATGACAACGTCTACGTGGCAGACTACGGTGCTTATAGCACGGAGAACGGCATTAGTTGTGCTGGGCTCAACTTTCTGTGCCTTCCTACAGAGTCTGCCCTTTTATTCTTTGCTAACTTCTAAGTGGACATCTTATGTATCCCTGCAAGCTGCCTTGACATTGTTTTCCGGGAGGAAAGCAGAGTTTAATGAGTATCAGCCTTCTCTTTTTTCTACCCAGGCAGGTAGTTCTAGAGGTGGGGATAACTGCCAAGAGATTACAGAATCCTCGAGCAAGAAGGTCACTCAGGCGGTAACTGGTTGCCCTCACGGAGAAGAGCAAAGGTCTGGAAAACCTGGGGGGCAGCATAGGGCCTGGGAGGATGGATGACACCGGTGACAGCTGTGTCCACTCCTGCTGCGCCATCTCTGCCCCCGTCCCCAACTCCGTCCTCCTGCCCGCTCTGCTGCACTCGCACCCTGTGCCGCCCAGTGTGTCAGGCAGTGATTCTAGGGAGGGGGACGCACCCCGCCCTCCCTCCCCCAGGGCTGTGGGGCAGCTCACAGGAGCCTGAGCATGAGAAAGGGCTTTGGCAACTGTCAGTCGGTGGGTGTGTCAGTGAAAAGCGAGTCCATGAAGGCAGGCCTGGGCTCTTGTTCATCACAGTGCCCATGCCCAGAGCCCAGCTGGGGCCAGCTGGTCTGGTTTAGCTCCATGCTCATGCGGGTGGTCTGACTGTGGCCCTCCCAGAGGAGGCCCACCAAGGCCCAGGCACACCAAGGCCCAGGCACACCCAGGGCCAGCACACATAGCTGTGGGTGTCAGAGCGCCCCTATGACTTGCTGCTACCTCTTTGCACAGAAGGTCCTCAATACCCACTGTCCCATGTGGTCCACGCCCCAAGTTTTCACCATCAGTTCCTGAAGGTGGACAGAGGTGTCTGCCTCCAATCAGAGCCCTCTCCCCGGTGTGATTCATTGGTGCCCTGTGCGAGGGGGTGCTAAACAGCATCACCCTCAGCTTTCACCTTCAATGAGGCAGGGAGCTGACCTCAGCAGCTCTCTCCTGGGGCTCAAGGGGCACCCACCTTGAGCTTGTATTTGTTGGAGGTTGATTTCCGTGCACTGGCCATTCCCGATGGGCCCAGGCCCTGCTTCAGGTCCTGCATGGCGAGCTGGCTGGCTGTGAGGACACAAGGGCAGTGCTTTGAAATGTAGCAGGGGTAGGTGGCGGGGGGGGTCCTCCCAACCCCCTGCCCTGCCCACCCCATTCCTCTCCTCAGTGAAGGCTGCCCAGCAGTGTCCTGGAATGGCTTCCACATAAGTTCCTCCCTGTCCAGATGCCCCATCTTCCTCAGTGTTAGCATGAGGGCAAACACTCCTCCATGCACGGCAGCCTTCTTCTGAATGAGCTGGAGCCACTTACATGTCTTTTTGACAGTGATGGGGAGGCTGTAGTTGTAGGCACTGCGTTTTGTTTTGACAGGCATGTCGTTGGGGGTATAACCTGCAGACAAGGGAGTCGTGTCATGGGATGGTGGGTGCAGAGCCCTGTTCTGGCAAACATCAGAGGTGGGACCAGGAGTAATAGTAGCTGGTGTTTTCTGGCACTTACCACGTAGGGCTGTGTGCTCAAGCTCCGTGTGCATTAGCTTACTGTAGTCCTGGGGAGTAGGCATTTACGGGATGCCTGGCACATATTACATGAGCCAGAACGATTGCTGAATAAATGAATGAATGACTCAGAGAGGTTCAGTGACTTGTCCAAGATCAGTGGTAGAGCTCAGATCTTAATTTCTACCCTATCCTGCATCCAACAGATTCTCACCAAGAGGAGCAGGGCTTTTTTACACTCTCTATATGAATAAATTCCTATTGCAAAAGAGAATGCTAGAAATTGAAAGAAAAAGAGCGAAAGACAGGAAGCAAAGGTTTCAGTAATTTTTACCATATTTCATTCCACAACGGATTCGGAAATCAAGGACTTGATAGATCTTGGCATCTGGGTTTTTTCGGGGGTCGTAACCGTATCGAATCCACAGGCTTCTCCAGGGGCCTGTTATCTGGAAACAGACAAGGTAGGAGTGCCAGAAGGGGCCAAGGCCACAAGTCTTGAGGTGTCTCTGGTGAGCGTCTATCAAGCCCTGGATCCCTCAAGTCTCCTTGGTGACCACAGGGAGCAGATCCCATCGGTGAGGCCGAACACCCCCACAGTTGGGAAAATGACTCTGGAATCACAGCCAGTCCAGCCAGGAGCAAACTCTGTCACCTGGGGCAGGTCACCAGACCACTCCCAGCCTCGGTCTTCCTATTCAATGGAGATAGTCGAGTACCCTTCTCACTGTTTTTGTGAGGATTAAGTAAGGTCATGCCCGTGGAGCCTTTACCACAGCGCCTGGCACATAGTAAGTGCTCAATAAATGCTAGTCATTATTACCACCTTAATGGATGGAATGTGTTCGGCCCCCCTGAAGTCCTTATGTCTAGAAAGTCAATGCAAAAGGACAGAGCTGGCTCTTGGGAGTCTGGAGTCCAATAGGACAAGAGGGCTTTCTAAAGTGATGACCCTTTCTCACGTCCTGCCACCTGTCACTAGCCCTCATGGTCACACCTTCCACTGGCCTCTCTGAATGCCCCAGTACAGGAGCCCTCAGCAGGTAAGCTGCCTTTCCTACTGGCACCTGTGGGAACCTCAGTAATGACACCCCCACTCCCGGACTGAATCAAAGGTTGATCTATACCCCACTGAACCCCACTTGACCAGTTAAGGCAGTGTGGCACTGGGTGATGGGTTCAGGCTCTGCAGACAGACAGGCTGGGGTCCCGGTGCGGCTCTGCCACTTGGCATGGCATGTCACCTCTCTAAGCCTAGGCTTGTCCTCAGAGATAAGAAGGGAACCCCGCCACCAACTCCCAGGGAAGAATAAAGGATACTCTGTATATACATGCTTAACCCAATGCCTGGTCCTTAGGGAGCTCTCAATACAAGGGCATTTAAAAACATATAATCCCTTTACTTAAAAGTTAGAGGGATACTAAAATTGTCCAATTATGGCCAAATATGTTACTAAGGAAGCTGGGCAAGCTCCCTGGAACTTTTTCACCAGGGAGCTGAAAATCTTCCTAGATGGCTTGAAAAAGCCATCTCAGGAGTGCCAGGACAGGGAACCACCTGTTCTTGTGGTGGCTCTAGGACATCACATCAGGGATCCAGGACGACCTTGGTGGAAACCAAGGCAGGAAGGCAGGCAGATACTCACCATATAATAGGCCATGAAGGGCAGCAAGACCTTGAGCTTGTCAGGGTGGACGCTAATGTTGGCCTTGACAGCGCTCCGGGACCAGATGGGACGGAGGTCAAACAGCTGGGGAGGGTCGAGGGCAGAGGCTGAGGTGAACACGAGCAGCTTTCCACCCTCCCATCTGCCCCAGACTTCCCAGCCCAGTCTGGCTCAAGTGGGCCCTTGGGGCTGAGTCCCCAGTGGGCAATTCCAGAGAGGAAGTGGCAAGAGCTGGGGCAGAACTCCCACCCCTAGACTTCTGCAGGGAAAAGCCTCCCAGAACTGCTGCCCTCACTCCCTCAGCCCTCCACTTAGAAACATGGGTTGAAAGCCTAGTGTGTGCCAAGTGTAGCTGTGGGACCTGGGGGTCCTGAAATGACCCCAGGGACATGGCCCCTGTCTTTAGGCAGCTCCCAGTGCAGTGGGGAGGCAGATGACCAAAGGACCCAGAGCAAGGCTGACAGCAGAAGTGCTGGAGCTTTGGGAACCCTGACTAGCCCCAGTTAGAAGGTGTATGCTGAGTTGGGACATACTGAGGTCTGAAGGAGATAGTCTGGCCCAGGGGTAGCCTGTAAAAGGCTCAGTGTGGTGGGAACATGGAGGGCAAAGGCAGAAAGGGCCTTGTAAGCCGGGGTTAGGGATTTGGACTGTTTCCAGAGGACAGTTAGGAGTCATAGATAGTGGCTCCTCCCTGCCCCCATCCCAAAGTATGACTGCTAGAAATTAAACAAGTCTCTTTAAGGAATAAAAATCCTCCAAGGGCACAGTGTGTAACTTCAACTCAGACAAGGGACGAGCCCTGAGCCTCAGTTGGCTAGTGATTTGGCCTCACTGTGACCCTGGCTGTTTGCGTGGACAGAGGACCCAGCCTCATTGCCCACAGAACCCGCAGGCCGGAGGAGAAGGCATAGTGCTGTATCCCGGCCAGGGCGGTACACGGCAACAGAGCTCCAGCTCTCACGGGATGAAAGCGCCGGGGCCTGGCACATGGGAGGTGCTCCATTTGGCTTGTTAGAATGAACAAATGGATAAACAAAAACTTACTGGATCTGGAAATCCACATTTAAGTCACATTTGGACAGTGCACCCATTTTTTCACCACTCCAAAGAGACTGCTTAAGAATTCTAAGAAGGATTGTCAGCCTTGGGAATTGCAGGGCTTATACTGACATGGCTTTTAGATATGACATCTGAAGGTGAAAATTTCCCATCTACTAAAGAACTAGTTTACAAAAGAAAAAAAAAGAGAGAGCCTAGCTAACCCCAAAACAAAGAGGCCCTGGGACCAGCTGGGTAAATACAAGGGGGTAACTGCAGAGGCAGGTGGGGCGGGGCAGGATGGGGCTCACCTTCCTCAGCTCTTCCTCCACTTTCCTGTCTATGGGGTTGGTGCAGACTTTCTTCCATGTCTGGACTGCGGCCTCCAGCGGCTGCATGGGCACCTCATCCTCCTCAAAGTTGACAAAGATGGCATTGTGGGGACGCCGGGCCCTGCTCAGGCCAATCAGGTTCTCGCCTGAGATGGTGGGGTTGTTGTAGCCTTCCCTGGAGGCACAGAGAACCGTGTTTGTGAGCTTTTCCCTGGGAACCTGGGTTAGGGAGAGGATCTTAGCGCTGGCTGCTAAAGGCAGGAGCCTGTGTTCTCAGGGGAGAGGACAAAGCAGCAACTGCGTGGAGCTCACAGAAGCTCTGGGGCCTGCGGCTCTGAAGCTGGGCAAGGCCAAAAGGCCTCCCTTGATCTGGTTGAGCCAGAGAATCTGCCTCCCTGAGAGGCTGGCCTGTGGGAAGGGCACCCCGTGATGAGGCTGGTGGGCTCCTAACTGCACTAAGTCACACACAGCACCATCTAGCTAGTGAAAAGCTAGACACAGCCTAAATGCCCACCGGTGGGAAGTGGTGAAATCAGTTAAGGTATAGCCACACAACAGAACACGATCGGCCATTAAAATGGACAGTGACAACAATAGCTAAGCTTACTGACATTTTACTTTTACATGTCTGCTTATTTAACCCTCAAAACAATCCTATGAGGGCAGAACCATTTTCCGACGAAGTAACTGAGGCCACAGCGATTAGGAAACCTGCCCAGAGTCAAAGAGCTCACAGGAAGAGCTGGCATTCAAACCCAGGGAGCCTGTCTGCAGAGGCCACATTCTCAACTGCCTGCCCTGCCGCCTCTCCAACACAGAGCATTGAGTCTTTGGCTCGGAAGCATCTTGTCCACAGATGGATAGTACCAAGTGGTATCATCATCCAGCACAGAGTAAAAAGCAAGAGTTCTAGAACCAGGCATTCTTGGCTCTATCGCTCTATGTGTTGGCATAAAATGCAACTAGGAGAATGTTGCCCAAGGTGCTCCTAGTGGCTACCTCTGTGGGTGAGATTTCAGAAGTGTCAAAGTTACACAAAAGCGGAGAGAAAAATATCGAGAACCCATACACCCACCATCAGCTTCAACAGTTATTGTCACATGGCTAACCTTATTTCATCTATACCCTGCCCCAACCCCACTAAATTATTTCAAAGTATATTTTAAAGTATACCTGGGGCATCATACGGTTTCATTTAGGTGATTGTTACCTTTTTCTTTCTTTCTATTTTGCCTTAATTTTCCACATGAGTATGTGCCACCTTCATATTTAGAAGGAAAAACAAAGTCATTTTCATATTGGGAAACAAAATTAAAAAGACAGGATGAAGCCTTTGCTTTCGTGTAAATCCATCGGACACCATCCTGGACAGGTGCAGCATTAACCTGTTTCCTAGGGCACCTCTCCCAAATCCCAAACACCCCAAAGAAGGAAAGCCCCTGGTGGCTCACTTCCAGGGCCAAGCAGCCTTATGCAGGAGCAGGAGGCAGGGGGCCAGCCTGTGCCAGGCACTGCGGGGACAGACCCACGGCTGCCTTTGCTACCTCCCCACCCCCCACAGCGACTCCAGGCTTTAGACATCTGTGTGCAATCACCACGATTCTCAGTGTGTGGAGAACTGCTGGCGGGTGACAAGGGCTGGCAGCAAAGTCAGTGGGACCACCCCAAAGGGCTCCCCTGAGGAGCAGGGGGTGCTAAACTGCCACAAGGAGGATGGACCCCACCCCCAGGCTGGCCTCCCAGCCTCTCCTCTGCCCACCCGGCTTGTGGGGAGCTCAACTGCCCAGATGCAGGGGGTATCCACCCAGGGAGTGGCCAGGCCTGACCCCGCCAAGCCCTGTGTACCCAGGAAGGCCAGCAGAGCAGAAAATTTGATAGTAGGCCTGGGAGAAAAGGCAGGTTCTTTCTAAGTGCTAGAAAACCGATAAACCACACAGGGTGGGAAAAGGGGGCCTGTGGGCCTGATGGTGGCCTGGCCCTCCTCCCTCACCCCCACCCCAGAGGCTTGGGAACGGCTGCTGGCTGGCCCCACAGGACAGAGAAGTGACTCAGTGCGGAAGGCTGCTTTGTTTTCTTCTGTATATTTTTGTTTGTTTGTTTCTGACTACAAGTGTAAATCACTTTTGGGGGGTGGGGATCGAAGCATTTCAGAAATACGTAATTTAAAAAAAAAATGGATCCTATCCCCCCCATGCTTAAAACTCTCGTACCCAGTATAAAAAACACACAGAAAATTGCCTGTATCATATTATGTGCAGGGTTTTAAGCAAGGAGGTGGTATGACCTGATTCTTTTTCGTTATACATTTCTGTAATGTTTTATTTTTTCTAACAAGCACAATTTACTCTTACAATCAGAACAAAAGGGGAGGGGGGAGAGGAAATGTTATAGATTCAACAGACCTGAGAGACACCAATTAAAATAACATGTGGCCCTTGTTTGGCTCCTGAGTCATTTTTGAGACAACTGGGGAAAAATGAACAAGGACTGAGCACCAGATGACAGGAAGGAATACTGTTTGTTTGGTGTGGTAATAGTATTGCAGTTATGTTTTTTTAATCAAACTCTGCCAGGCACTCATTGTTTTAAGTACTTCAAAAATCTGAAATCATTTGTTTTTGTGTGCTGTCGAGTCGATTCTGACTCATAGAGACCCTACAGGACAGAGCAGAATTGCCCCACAGAGTTTCCTAGGCTGTAATCTTTACTGGAGCAGAGTGCCAGGTCTTTTCTCCCTTAGAGGGGCTGGTGAGTTTGAACTGCTGATCTTTTGGTTGGTAGCTGAGTGCTTAATCATTGCACCACCAGGGTTCCATTAAGTCATTTACTCCTCCTAACAACGCAGGGAAGTAGGTACTATTATTATTCCCTTTACAGACAGGGAAACTGATGTGGAGAGGCCAGGTGGCTCACAAGACCACACAGGGCTGAGCTGTGGTGCCAGGACTTAAACGCGGGCAACCAGGCACCAGCGTCTGGGCTCCTCCCACCACACCAAGCTTTTGCTCAACCTCCTGCTGCTGTCAACAATTAAATCAATAAACGGTCTCAAAAACGTATCTTTGAGCACTGAGGTGAGAATCGCTGTGGGATGAATTCCTAGAGGTGGGATAGCTTGGTCAACAGGAAAGAACGTGTAAAATCATAACAGATTTTGCAAGTGGCTCTCCAAAAGAGTTGACATCATTCATGGCACCCCTTAGAGTAGGAGAATGTCTGTCTGTCCTCTCCACACCCCAAAATAAGTGCTTTTTGGGACAGGTCTTCAAGTCTCCAAAGGTGACACCCCCAAGTCACTCTCCATGGTGTGGGGAAACATCTGAGCAAGGCCTCTGATAGGGCACGCAGACTCAGGCTGGTTCCTGACACTCTTTATCAGGCCTGCCCTTGTCATCAGCTGTTCTGCCTTTGGAGGCACCAGGCAGGACATAGCGGGCACTGGGGCCATGGGCCTGAGCCAAGCTGGCAGCCCCCCCTGGCTAGCTGGAAGGGAGATGACCAATGGCTGCCCAAGTCAGCAGGCTCTGTAACCCAACACAAGTTGGAAGCTTAAAACATGCTAAGGAGAAATTCTTTAACGAAGATCACCACCTATGGGTCATTTTTCAAAATTTCCTTTTCCTTTTGCTTATCTGTTTTTACTAGTCTTGCTACTCTAAACAGTCATTTGCTTGGTCCACAGATACTCGCTGAGTGCCTCCCATGTGCCAGGCCTGTTCCAGGCACCGGGGGTACAACAGAGAACAAAACAGGCCAAATCTCTACCTTCCGGGAGCTGACATTAAAACTTGACGAAGTTTTCTAATTTTGTCTTTTGTGGGTAATTTGAGAAAAGCAAACAAAAATCAGGACAGTGTGGCATTGGAAGAAAAGTAAGGCCTGTGGCATCAGAATGACTGGGGTTCGGGCGCTGGCTCATGTGACCTGGGCAAGCTCTTAACCTGAGTGTGTTTCCTCAGTTGTAAATGGGCATGACACAAACATGTGGAATCACTGTAAGGCTGGGGATAAAATATGCACACAGTGCTTCTCCCATGAGAATATGAAATAACTGGCAGTGGAGGTGGTGGATGCTATTAAACTCAAGTTGGGTATTTTCAAAGTATTTTCTTCATATTTTTTAATAGTATTCAGTCTTGGCTTTTACACAAAGGCAATCCTATTCCCTCATGTCAATGCGTGGCTGTCACCAATGCAAAACCAACATCTGACAATTCCCAGTCCTGCTTTTCCAACAACCCCTGGGGTCTCTAATTATCTCAAGATTGTCTAAAGAATTTATTTCATTTCAATAAACAGCACACTTGCGTGTGGCCTTGTTAGGAATGTGTGCATGGGAGGCGGGCGAGGAGGGGAAGATGAGCTATGATACACATCCATCTGGCTTTTCACAACCCTTAGTGTAGGAGAAACCCACCATTTATTCAAGAGATACTGAGGATCTCTCCTCAAGAAGCTTACATTCTAGAGGGGAGAGGGACTGCAAACAAGTACACAATTAACAAGCTAGATCCGTTCAGAGTCACAGCCACCTTCAGGGAAGTGGCACCGGAGACTGGCCAGGGGTTGTGTGGTTCTCTGAGGCCACCTCCAGCTGCATGGGGGCAGGCCAGGAGATGGCAAACAGCTGGGCTGAACTTGGGCTGGGGAGTTACAGTGAGTGTGGCAAAGGGAGACAGGCAGGGGAAGGATGGATTTTAAAGATGGCCATGCAGTCTCTGATGGGGGTGGGCAGCGAGGCCATGAGGAGGCAGAGGAGACAGAAATGTGTTGGGGTCCAAGGACATATGTTGTGAGGTCACTTGGCATGGGACCCCCAACATAGAAGGGGGATGTTTGCAAGAAGCACTCCTTAGGTAGCTGTTATGGATTGAATGGGGGCCCCCAAAAAGATAGGTTGAAGTCCTAACCCCTGTTACCTATGAACATTACCTTACTTGGAAATAGAATCTTTTAAGCAGGAGTAGGGTAAGGCCTGGCAATCTGCTTCCGTAAGGATTACAGCCAAGAAAACCCTATGGAGCAGTTCTACTCTGTAACTTGTTGGGTCACCATGAGTTGGAATTGACTTGACAGCACAAGACAACAACAGGGTGGGCCCCAATCCTATTCAAGTAATGTCTTGTAAAAGAAGAATACAGACACAAAGAGACACACACAGGGAGAAGACAGCAAGCGAAGATGCATCTATAAGCCAAGGAACATCAAGAATTGCCAGGAACCCAAGGCTAGAAGAGAGGCACTGAAAGGAATCAACATGGTCAATACCCTGATTTGGACTTCTAGCCTCCAGAACTGTGAGATAATAAATTTCTGTTCTTTAAATCCACTGACTTGGTGATATTCTGTTATAGCAGCCCAAGGACACGGACACATTGGTGTTATTGCTGCTAACAGCAAGGTCCAGAGAGTTACTGGTCACCAGTGACCAGGGGATTAAGCCAAAGAAACCATTTCTCAGCAGAAACCCTCAAGTCCTATGTCCGAGTTCTCTGCACTTTAAGGACCCACGGGAATGAAGCCAAGCTCATGATCACACGGCCACCACTTACTGAGGACTTTCTCTGTTCTTGGCTTTGTGCTGAGAGCTTCAGGTGTTTGACCTTACCTAATTCTAATACTTCTGTTTGGTAAGTATTATTGTTATCCCATTTTAACGACAGGGAAACTGAGAAGTGGCATGCCTGAGATCTCCTGACTTGTGAGTGGCAGAGTAGAGCCTCAGACCCAAGCCCCCTGACCCCAGGACCCTTGCTCTGAACCCTGACGCTGCAAGGAGGGCCTTACCGGTGTTGTATGTCTGGTCGATAGAAGTAATCCACTGGGGAGTCCAGCCGGGAGAAGATGGGTGGGGGGATGTAGAGCGGCAGCTCCTGGTTGAAGAAATCCTCCTTCTCGGGCTTGAGCATGAGCACTTTGTCATACATTGACGTGTGCCTGCCATCCGCATCTGTATGCACTGCCAAGTACTGGAAGTCGGACATTCCTGGAAGAAGCAGACAGCTGGCAGTTGCACGGCCAACAAGGGCTCTCTCTGTTACAGCCACATCTTCCACATACTCATCCAACCCCCACATCCCTTTAGGAAGGTGCCGAGTGAGCTGTGTATTGGATTCTGCTGGGGCAACAATGGCAGGAGTTGAAAGAACACCCTTCAGAAATGCTTTTGCAAACCTGGCTCAATGTACTTCTAAGTCACTTGAATAAATATTATTCGGGGGGGCTGTGTTATATGTGAGGATAAGTCTGGGTCAGTGCTTCTCAAAATGTAATATGCATATGAATCACCTGGGATCTGCAGATTCTGAGATGCTGCAGTTCTAACAAGCCCCCAGATGAAGCCCATGCTGCTGGTCCAGGGGCCAGACACAAAGTAGCGAGGTGCTGGCTCAATTAGAAATAAAAATATGAAGTGTAATATTTTATAAACCACTTGGAAAACCTTGTACAGGAAGTACAGCCCTCTTTTGTGAATATCACATTCCACCAGAATGACTGATGTTCAAAATGCTCAACCCCATGTGACCACAGGTCCTTTTTTTCCTTTCTTTTCACTTTCTTCTCCCCCTCTCTTCTCTATTCCCTTTTCCTTTCTCCATCTTTGTTCTCTTCAGAGTCTGTCTTAGAACTGCCAGTGGCGACTGCAGGCATATCTAAGGCTTGCCAGTAACCTGCCAAGTACCCTTTAATAGCATGGTCTCCCTGACTCTTCACCAGGACCTGATGAGCTCAGGGCTACTCACCCACTGTATGCACAAGGAGATCGAGGCCAAGGGACGCCAAGTGACTTGCCCATAGAAATCGGCAGAGCTCAGGCAGGCACAGCTCCAAAGCCCATGTTCTTTCTTACCCGTTCCCACTTTACTGACTCGTCACAAAGTCAATTGAGGATCCCATAGGAGATCTAGTTTGCTAAAAATTCAAAGCAGACGAAGTCTCAAGGGAATGAGGTGATCTAGGAAGGCTTGAAGGGAAGGTAGGACTAGCAGCAGTCAAGACCAAGAGAAGGAATCCAAAAAGAGGTGGAAAACTGAAGATTTGCTGACCAGTTTTATTTGGCTCTACACTGTGGTTTTATAAAACGTTAGACTTCTCATAGAACTCTGGATTTGTAGCTTCTCTTAAGAATGCAGAAGACTGAGCAGCAATGAATCTGCAGTCCCCCAGGTAACTGCTGCCTAGAAGGAGGGGAGCCTGTGCTCTGCGGTTTCCCACAGTCCCTGCCCCTTGCCCCCTGGGCAATCCTGGCTTGCTTCACTTGTGGAGGTGACCCACTCAAAACCCTGCAAGAAGTTGGGATAGAAGGCCCTGAAATAAGCTCATGTGGTAAGAGTGTATTTCGCAGTTACCCTGAAACTTGTAAGTGGTGGAGATGATGCCAAGGATCTCCATCTCAAACATGACCTTGGGACAGGCCTCGGCCCCTGGCACCGCTGCCCGCCGCCTCGTCTTCCTCTTGATCCGGAGCAGCAGGCTGCTGGTACTGAAGCGGTTGGCACATACAGGGTGGCAGTAGGGATCCTTGGGCCGGAAGTACAGCTCTAGCCTCTTGGTGGGGTCTGCGTAGATCTGTGGTGAGAGCCAAAGGAGACAAGAGTGGAGCAGTGAGCAGATAAGCAGTCCTTCAGGGAGCTGTTCTTCTCTCAACCCAAGCCTTCTGACAACACAGGTGACCCAGGGAGGGTCAGAAGGCTTCTGTTTTATTTTGGGCTCTTAATTCCCCAAAATTTATTTTTCAAACCCAAGTATCTTAGTTTTTATCTAGTCAAGAAAATGAGGTTAAATAGTCTTTTCCTTCTAAGGGGATAGAAGTTGGAAGTAACTTTTTAGGCAGAAGCCTCCATTTGTCAAGTGCCTGGTGAATATGGCATTATGAGACTCTTCTGGCAATACTTCATGCGAGGTGTTATTAACCCGGAGTTTACCTTTGAGGCACTTGAGGCTTGCAGTTGGGTAGGGTGGAGTGTTTAGCGACTTGTCTAAAGCTATCTACTACAGGAACTGCCCAGCCCAAATGGTTCTGAGATTCAGACTCATATGCGAATGTTTCTAGGTCCAAAGAAGATTAACTCAATCAGTAAGACCCACTCTGACTAGATATTACCTATCCTTTCTGAACTTCAGTTCCTTTTCCTTAAGATGGAGATAATAACAGTATCTACTTTACAGGATTGTTACAATGATTAAAGAAAAATACATATAAAGCACTTAGCCCAGTGCCTAACTCACGGTAAACACTCAGTACATGTCACCTACATTACGAAGGAATGTCTGCCCTACACCAGGGAAAAAGGGGAAAATGAGCGTCAGATGTGTGCATATGAAAGCACCAACAATGTGCTTCTACTTGCTAGTCTGCTGGCTCCCCAACACCCAGGACAGGGCCTGGTCCTCAGTAGGTGCTCAGAAAATATCTAGTGAAGGAATGAAGGTTAAAAGGGGCTCCATCCTCCAGGAATCCTCTTCTTATAAAACATATGTCTCTGAGTCCCGCTGGGGTGGGAATGACCCCAGATGGGGGCCTGGCACAGAGTAGGTGCTCAAGAACATGAGTAGAATGAATGAATGAATGTCCAAGGTCCCTGCCCAAAGAGTTCACACTGTAGTTTGGTACAGATACCTTTAGGGTGAGAGCGAGGGTCCTGTTAAAGTCACAGGTCAAGTGAATAAGCCAGTATAAAAGAACAAAACATGAACGACCGGGGCTCTGTTGGAGGCATTTAAAGTTTTGGTATATGTAAAGCATTTAGCAAAAAGCTTGGCATCGAGTAAAAGCTCATCCCAGCTCCTCTACTTGCTGTGTGACCTTGAACACACATAGGCCTCAGTTTCCTTGTAAAATGCGGTTAATGACAGTTGCTACCTTGTAAGAGTTCCAATGGGGATCAAATGTAAATAACGTACCTAGAACCGTGCCTGGCACCCAACAAGATGTCAGCTATTGCTACTCTTAACCCTAATAACGTAACACTCGTGCCCTTCTCATGTATGGCAGTGGCCCTTAATCTCCTGGTGCCGGTTTTCTACTGTGTGACAAAAGGACAAGGCAGCCCAGTACACCCTCGACGTTCATGGCAGGGATGCTGAGGCTGCAGTTCATATCTGGGATGGGATGGAAAAGACTCCGTACAGTCTCTCCCGTTGTCCTTTTCCCACTGCTCCCAAATTTTAAAATGGCCCATCGCAGGTGATCTCAGAAGCAAAGCTCCCGCCCACCGGCCGCCCCAGAGCCCGCCTCGCGCCCAGCTGCCAAGGAAATTACACTTCTCCAGGTAGTCCCGCGACTCGGTCCCTCCCCCCTTGTCCTAGACACTCCACGCTCCTTACCCGGGAGACGCCTTCCTCGCCTCCCAGAGTCGGCAGCATCTTAGACACGTTGCGCACCACTCCCGGGTACTCCACACACACCATACCGCGTTCCCGCCGCAGCTCCAGGGGAACGGCAGCCCCCGGCCCAGCCTCGGCCGCCATCCCTGCCCGTGTGGCCAGGCCCGTCGCGATCCGTCCCTCAACGCGCTCCCAGAGGCCTTGCCCCAATGGTTCCGCGAAGGAATCCTTCCGGGCTCCCTCACCGCTCGCGTCTCCCTAAATTCCCGAGCTCAACGAGCCCCGAAGGCCTCCGGGGAGCAGATGCCCGGGATCGGGGGAAACGACGGCCACGACACCTTTTTGTTTAAAATTAAGAGGGTTAGCCAAAGAGGCGGTACAAGGGCCTGTCTCCCCCACCAGCCAGCGAGAGCCCGGGAGGATTGTAAATCATGTCCAGCCCTCGACTTTAGCCAATGAGAACCTCAAGACCAAGGCAATATTCTAGCCAATGAAGAGTGAGGAGGAAGTCAGGTCCCCGCCTAGCTTCATAGATTTTAGCCAATAAAGAACCAGGACTAGGGATTCCACCCAATGAAGACTCGGGGGCCGTCGCGGGGTAGACTTCCGGCCCGCCTCCTTGCATGTAGAAAGAGTGCGTAAATAAATTGATTTCTGGGCTAGAATCCCGCCAAGCGGTTTCTTGTGGGCTCGGACAGCGTTCTCACCCCCTCCTAGCTACCACAGCACGAGATTTCTAACGGCACGTGGAGGCCGGGCGAGTCCGATCTGGAAATGGCGAGTGCGGGGGAATTGTGGATTAAATGCTCGTCCCACTGCGAAAACCCAAACCAAACCCCCTGCGGTTGAGTGGATTCGGACTCTTAGCGACCCTACAGGACAGAGTAGAACTGCCCCATAGGGTTTCCAAGACTGTAAATCTTTACGGAAGCGGACTGCCACATCTTTCTCCCACCGTCTTTTAGTTAGCAGCCAGCGCTTTAACAACTGAGCCACCAGAGCTCCAAAACTCAATGGGCCGCTGCATTGGAACCCTAAGTCTCGGTACCTTCAGTTGGTGAGAGAGGTTCACCGAAGACCAAACCAAACCCGTCGGTAGGACAGCGTAGAACTACCCCGTGGGGTTTCCAAGGCTGTAATCAATTGTATTCAAATTTATGCACCGACCTCTAAGGCCAAAGATAAAGAAACGGAAGATTTTTACCAACTTCTGCAGTCTGAAATTGATCAAATATGCAATCAATAAGCATTGATAATTACTGGCAATTGGAATGCAAAAGTTGGAAACAAAGAAGGATCGCCCCCGGACACCCTTTTAGCGCAGTAATGGAGTCACTCCCGAGGTTCACCGTTCAGCCAAAGATTAGACAGCACCATAAAAGAAAAGGAGACTATTGGGGCACAGCAGTCCAGGGACAAGGACTAGAAGGCAGGAGGGGACAGGAAACCTGGTAATAGGGAACCCAAGGTTGAGAAGGGACAGTGTTGACATGTTGTGGGGTGGTTAACCATTGTCGTAAAACAATATGTGTACTAACTGTGTAATGAGAAACTATTTGTTCTGTAAACCTTTATCTAAAGTACAATAAAAAAAATAGGAGAAAAAAAGGATCGGTAGTTGGAAAATATGGCATTGGTGATAGAAATGATGTTGGAGATCATATGATAGAATTTTGCAAGACCAACGACTTCTTCACTGTAAATACGTTTTTCCAAAAACATTAACTGCGACTATACACATGGACCTTGCCAGATGAAATACAAAGGAGTCAAATTGACTACATGTGTGGAAAGAGATGATGGAAAAGCTCAATATCATCAGTCAGAACAAGGCCAGGGGACAACTGTGGAACAGACCATGAATTGCTCATATGCAAGTTGAAGTTGAAGAAAATTAGAACAAGTCCACAAGAGCCAAAGTACAACCTTGAGTATGTACCACCTGAATTTAGAGACCATCTCAAGAATAGCTTTGATACATTGAACATTAATGACCGAAGACTAGACGAGTTGTGGAATGACATCAAGGACATCATACATGAAGAAAGCAAGAAGTCGTTAAAACGACAGGAAAGAAAGAAAAGACCAAAATGGACGTCAGAAGAGACTCTGAAACTTGCTCTTCAACGTAGAGTAGCTAAAGTGAAAGGAAGAAAGGATGAAGTAAATGAGCTGAACAGAAGATTTCAAAGGGTGGCTCAAGAAGACAAAGTAAAGTATTATAATGAAATATGCAGAGACCTGGAGATAGAAAACCAAAAGGGAGGAACACTCTCGGTATTTCTCAAGCTGAAAGAATGGAAAAAAATTCAAGCCTCAATTACAATATTGAAGGATTCTACGAGGAAAATATTAAACAACGCAGGAAGCATCAAAAGAAGATGGATGGAATACACTGAGTCATTGTACGTAAAACAATTGTCACTTATGTCAGGAGGTAGCACATGATCAAGAACTGATGGTACTGAAGGAAGAAGTCCAAGCTGCATTGAAGGGAATGGCGAAAACAAGGCTCCAGGAATTGACAGACTATCGAGATGTTTCAACAAACGCTGGAAGCGCTCACTCCTCTATGCCAAGAAATTGGAAGACAGCAACCTGGCCAACTGACTGGAAGAGATCCATATTTGTGCCCATTCCAAAGAAAAGTGATCCAACAGAATGCAGAAATTATCGAACAATATCATTAATATCACACACCAAGTAAAATTTGCTGAAGATCTTTCAAAAGCTGTTGCAGGAATACATTGACAGGGAACTGCCAGAAATTCAAGCCGAATTCAGAAGAGAATGTGTAACAAGGGATATCGCTGCTGATGTCAGATGGGTCTGGTCTTCGAAGAAGCACAGTCAGAATGCTCCTTAGAAGCCAGGATGGCGAGACTTAGTCTCATGTAGTTTGGACATGTTATCAAGAGGGACCAATCCCTGCAGCAGGACATCATACTTGGTAAAGTAGAGGATCAGTGAAAAAGAGGAAGACCCTCAACCAGATGGATTGACACAGTGGCTGCAACAATGGGATCAAGCGTAACAACGATTGTGAGGATGGCGCAGGACTGGGTAATGTTTCTTTCTGTTGTACACAGGGTCGCTGTGAGTCAGAACTGACTCACTGGCACCTAACAACAAGCTAACAACAGTCATTGAATCGGCTTTCTTAAATCCATCTAGAACGATGAGGTAATCTTGTTTAGATTCAGAAATTATTTCAGAAACTTGGGTTAGGTCTATCCAAGGAGTCTCTTGCTTACTGATTTTTATCTCCTAATATCCTCAGAAGATGCCCTGGTGGCAAAGTGGTTAAGCACTTGACTGCTAACAGAAAGGTGAGCAGTTCAAACCCACCAGCCCCTCCACATGGGAGAAAGATGTGACAATATGCTCCTATAAAGATTACGGCCTTGGAAACCCTATGGGACAGCTCTACTCTGTCCTAGTCAGAACTGACTGGATGGCATGCAACAACAACAATATCCTCAAATCAGCCTCTTCTTTCCATTCCCACTTCCACTACCCAGTCTCCTTTTTTTTTTTTCTGAGTCCACTTTTGCCCTCTCCAATCCACTCTTCACACAACAGCCGGGGAATTTTTTTTTTTAAATTGTGCTTTAGGTGACAGTTTACAGCTCAAGTTAATTTCTCATTAAAAATTTATACACATATTATTTTGTGATATTAGTTGCAATCCCCACAATGTAACAGCATACTCCTCCTTTCCACCCCAGGTTCCCTGTGTCCATTTGACCAGTTCCTGTCCCTTCCTGCCTTCTCATCCTGCTTCTGGACAGGAGTTGCCCATTTGATCTAGTATATCTGTTTGAACTAAGAAGCACATTCCTCATATGTATTATTTTTTGTTTTATAGTCCTGTTTAATCTTTGTCTGAAGAGTGGGCTTCAGGAATGGTTTCAGTTCTGGGTTAACAGTGCATCTGAGGCCATAATTTTAGGGGTTCCTCCAGTCTCTGACAGACCATTAAGTCTGGTCTTTTTACGTGAATTTGAGTTCTGTTCTACATTTTTCTCCTGCTCTGTCCGGGACTCTCTTGTGTTCCCTATCAGGGCCGTCATTGGTGGTAGCCGGGCACCATCTAGTTCTTCTGGTCTCAGGCTGGTGGAGTCTGTTTCATTTAGTCCTTTTAGTCCTTTGGGCTAGTATTTTCCTTGTATCTTTTGTTTTCTTCATTCTCCCCCTCTCTGAGTGGGATGGGACCAATTGATGTATCTTAGATGGCTGCTCAAAAGCTTTTAAGACCCCAGACACCACTTACCAAAGGGGGATGTAGAACATTTTCTTAATGAACTATGTTATGCCAATTGACCTAGATGTCCCCCAAAACTATGGTCCCCAGGCCCCAGCCCCAGCTACTCTGTCCCTCAAAGAATTTGGATGTGTCCAGGAAACATCTTTGCTTTTGCTTTGGACCAGTTGTGCTGACTTCCCCTAAGGGAGATCTTTTAAATGCATAAATTAGATTACTACCCTCCTTGTATAAAATCCTTCAAGCGTTCTCTATCACACTTAGAAAAAAGTCAACCTTTTTGGTACCTGTTTTTTATGAGCTGCCTGGCCTGTGTAGACCTCTGACCCTTTAACTCACTTCACTTTGCTACCTATAGCTTTGTCTTCTGTCACTTCCTAGAATGGGCCACATGCCTCACTTCAGGGCCATGTACCATGGGTCCCCTCGGCACCTCCCACAAAGCTGCTTAATGTTTATCTACCCTGTTAGGTTCTGAGTAGTGCCCAGTGCACAAGAGGCACTTACTAACTGTCTAACAATGAACGCATGCATTCTGCCTCTCGATCCTGGGTGGACGGCACTTCAGGGTTTTCTGCATGTGGCGGTGAGGCAGGAGCCCTGGTGGCGCGGAGGTTAAGAGTTCGGCTGCTAATCGAAAGTTTGGCCGTTCAAACCTACCAGCTGCTCTGTGGGAGAAAGATGTGGCAGTCTGCTTCCATAAAGCTTGTTGTTGTTGTCATTAGGTGTTGTCCAGTCAGTTCCAACTCATAGTGACCCTATGTACAACAACCTTATGACTGTAAAGACCACTAAATACACATTAGAAAGAAAAAAGTATAACCTGGATTTTACTATATTTCATTATATTGTCATTGGAAGACTCGGCTAGGAGCCCCAGAACTTTGAAAGAAAGGCTCCCTCTGCAAGTACAACAGGGAGTCAACAGCAAATTATGGATGAGCCAGAAGCACAACATATCTCAACCTGGAGCTGCAGATGAGGCTTTTGTAGTGCCTGATCTATGCTATCCAGTGGGGACTTGCTCATTCTGCCACAAAATAGGAGCTCTGTGCAGTGAGGCCAAGATAATTCTCCAAAATTTTCCACACCTTGAGATGAAATTTGCTTTTGAACTTCTCATGTCCTTTTGCTCTAA